TGCTACCCCTCCCTCCCCTGTCCCTACTTACCAGCTCTGAGTCCAGCTGCAGCTCCCTGCTGCAGTGAATGGGAACTGTCCAAATCAAAGCTACCCAAATCTTTTCCAAAGATTCAGAGAGCTTCAAAAATCGATTCTGACCTTTTTATTGGTCTCCTGATTCGATTCGAATTCAGAGATTTGGCCACCAAATCTCCTCCGAATCGAATCAGCACCCAAAGCTTTGCACAGCACAATTAGTGAATTTCCCTAGCCCCTCTTTCTTCCCTTGGACTCTCCCAAAGGACTCTCATCCCCCTTTCTCCTTACAAAAAACAGTCCCAGTGTCTCCTTCAGGCTTTTGGGCCCTGGTTCTCACCATCACTTTGCCCAGTACATTTCTGACTCTTCCATACTCACCCCAGCCTACCAGACAGAGCTTGAGGATGAAATGCTCAAAATAGGAATTGAAGACCTCAACCACAAGCCTGTAGAGATTGTAGCCCTCAATACCCATCCATGTCAGGCAGCTCAGCAGGGAGAAGTGGAGGAAAATGGCACCAGTTTTGCAGGCTGCCTCACTGTCCATGGAAGCCAAGTGTTTGTTGATGAGGAAGCTCACGTCCAGAAGGAAGATGGCTGAGAGCAAGTTTATGTGGATGCTTATGTTTACAGCATGGTCTCTATGCTTCTTCCTGGAAAAGGGAATGAGATCTTACCCCTGTGCCTAGCTAAATTCCCAGATGTAGCAACCAGTGGCACGCCATATGGAGACCCAGTACTTTGAATCAAGCACCAGCCAGGGACACACAAGAGACCTGTGAGTTGGTGGCAGAAGCTGTGGGCTCAGTTCTTGATTCCACTTGTGTGTGGCTAGCTTCTGAATGTTGTGGGTGTCTGCATTCACCCTCAATTCTCTGCAGTAGTCTTAGGGGGTCACCTTGTCATTGGGATGCCTCATCTATCCTTTCCTTTGGATCATGCGTGTGGATGACATGATTTTGCCCCAAGATACTATATAAATTCCCAAGAAAAAACATCCCTTATTCTTGGTCAGCCCCTCATCAATGCAGTAGCAAAGATCTATTTATGTCTGTACTTACTATATATTTAATAATGGCCAAGGTGATTTTCAAGGTTATTAAAAACGACAGGTAATTTTCGAGTACCCACATGGACATATTATAAAGGGGGCTGGTGTCGAGAAGTCGGGTCCTCAGCATCTTCTGGGAATCACTGTCCTTCCAAGTGTCTCAAGTTGGGCCCCCAGAAACAGAACCATGCAAAGTCACTGGTCACTTTGCAAATCTTGGTCAATACTGTATCTAGTGGCAAAACAGTGGGATGCTGCATTCCTGGTGTAGTGTACTAGTCTAGCGGGAGTTCTCCATTCAGGCTGCTAGCTAATCCCCTCCCTTAAGCCACTGTGCTCTCTACCTGGAGTGCAGGAAGAAGATGGTGAAGACTGAAGCCACAGCAGAGATAATGCAGCCAATGTAGGTGATAATACTCAGGTACTCCTTGTGGATATAGTCTATCTCTGGAGAGGACACCTGAGAATGGAGAGAAGAGGGAGGATATATTAGAGGCCTCATGGGCAAGAGCTGGGTCCTTTTTCTGTGACCATGTAGTGAAGATATAGACACCTAGAAGGGAATATGGTACCCACCATCAGTACAGCAAAATAGGTGAGGTGATTGCAATGGCAGGTTGTCTGTTCATTACCCTTCTCTGTGGTACAGCCAATGTCACTCCAACTGCCAGAGCCATCTATGAGTGAAAGGAGAATTTGCTGTTACTGGCATGAGCTTTCAGATAGTCAGCTCAGATCTATTTATCTTTACAGAAAGTTGCTGTTATAAGATGGCTGCCATAGATTGCAAAAAACTTGTAATGAGGCCAAGGGAGTCTCATGCTATGAGAGTGATAACCTAGGGACTATCACCACCTATATTCATGTGGGCAGAAGGGCCTGGGGGGGAGATCCCTTGGAACATACATCGAGGGAACAACCTGATATTGATTTATTGGGATTCCTGTAAGTGCTGACTGCCTGAGATTGGATGAATATACAAGGAAGTACTAGTATTACTGTACAAGGCCTTGGTAAGATCCCATCTAGAATACAGCGCAGTTGTGGTCACCAGTGTTCAAAAAAAGATGGATTTAAGCTAGAACAGGTACAAAGAAACACCACTCAAATGGTTAAAGGAATGAAGACCTTTTCTTCTCAAAGACAGGACTTTTTTATCCTAACAAACACAAATTGAGGGGGAATATGATTATGTTTTACAAATACATTTGTGGAGTGAGTATTACAGAGGGATTAGGGGTGACTGGATATTAGGCTAAAAACAATACTGGCACAAGATCAAATGGCTAGAAACTGGCTATGAACACGTTTTACACTAGCAATTAGAAGATTACTTCTAACTCTAAGAGGAATGAAGGATTGTGATGTCTCTTCAGTAAAATGGTGAGGATTTTTAAGATTTTAAGGTTGAGTCATGTAAGTTTATGGAATGGAAGGTGTAATAGGATAGAGAGTTCTTGGTTCAATAGTCAGCAGGTATGATGTATGGAATCAAATTACTGCAATCCCCACATCCAAGTATGGAGGTAACTGGTATGTCTGGCTATCCCATACTTCATGGCTTTTGCTGATCACCCCTAGGGGCCAGGAAGGAATTATTTGCCCCTCATGAATGCTACTGTCTTTTGGAGGATTTTATTGCCTTCTTCTGAAGGATTGGGATGTTGGCTACAGCCAAGGCTTGGGGGATTTTTGACTGGGCTTCTCTGATGCTCCTTCTGATAACATAGAAAACTCAGAGGTCCCTGGCAAGTAGGTCTTGCTGATGGCCAAATTTGAGGTCAGGAAGAAATGTCCTTCTAAGTCATTTTGGCACATGCTAGGGTGGGTTTTGTCTGGAATGTGGGGATGGTCATTTCCTAGGATCTTCTGGTTTATATTAGCTAACTATTCTTCTGTAAATGCATTGGAAAGGTGTTGGCAGAGCTCTTGTCACCCCTGCCTTTGTCCATGGCATACTGCAAGGAGTTTCAGGTACTGTGCCTTGTAGATGTGTGTGTATCTGGAGGGGGTGGGGGATGCACTGGAGATTTGAAGAAATCTTTGGGTAAATAGTTGTCTATGAATACAGGGCACTGCACTTGATGGCCCAGGAGCTCTCATTCCAGTCTTACATTCCAATGAATGGCTGGGTTACGGATGAGGAAAGGCTAGTCTTGCAGAGACTAGAAATAGTCATGTGGGGAAGATGGTGCTTGAGTGAATAATGCAGATTTGAAAAAGACAAAGAGAAAGCAGATTGCTTCTCCTGTATATCCTGTCTTTTAATACAGGAATAAGTGGTCCTGGGATCAGGACAAGGCTCAATGCATTTTGAGGTTTAGACAAATTGCAGTGATCACTGCTTCCCACAGTCACTCATTAATGCAATCCAGGGTGTTAGATCAGGACAGATATTCATATGGGTGCTAAACAGACACTGGACTGATCCCATTCCCATACAATCCCATGACCCCTTGCATGGGATTCACACTAGCTGGAACAGCAAGGATGTTAGAGTCTTGGGATTCAGATAGTAACATGACTGTTGACTTGGTCCCTTCTCCAACAGTTAGACTAAGGCACTGTCTACATCTACAAAGTTTGCTGGCATAGCTACGCAATGAGGGGAGTTGAAAGGAGAGGCCTTTTGCAGGTACTGTTTCTGCCATTTAGGGAGAAGGGGTAGTGGAGCTGCCAGAGACCCCACTGCTGACCCCACATGCTGTGTGCTCCTAGTAGACTCTGCCAGCAAAGCTGTGGAGGCAGACCTCTAGTATAAACACCATTCACATCTGTGCAGGCTGCAAATGTGCCACCAAATCAACCCTTTAGCATTTTAAGCCTAGTGCAAACCATCTACAGAAGCCCGGAAAGCACCAGGGTATCTTTGAGATACTCACTGTTGGTGTTCACATCCCAGAACACGCACTGTGGGGTCTCATTCCTCTGAAACAAAAAGACCCTGGGCTGTGATCAGTGTGTACCTTTGGGCAAAAACATCACATGCCCCCAGTGGCTGGGGGGGCACAGCCACGCCGCTGCTGGCAGGAGCATGGTTGCAGTGAGTGGGGGAGCTCCTGCAGATGCTGCCGGCACTGTTGGCAGGGGGGGGAGGGGGAGCGTGGTGAACGCTGACCGTGGGTTAGCGAGTGCCTTTTTGCAGGGGGTGCACCGCCACGTGCAGGGGATGCAAGTGCGCCTGCGTGCACCTCCTACGCGTCACCCCTGCCTTTGGGTTACTCATGGGCAGGAAGCAGATAAAGAGGCAGGTGGGACAGGGAATAAGGAGCTCCCAGGAAAAAAAAAAAACACTGGTTCATGTCATGTGAAATGGGGCCAGAAACCAAAATGAATCAGGGGGCAGCGCCACTGGGGTAGATGGTGAGTTGACAGGTCTGAGCCTCCCCCATGAAGTAAACTGATTTTAGTGAGGCTGTTTCTCACACCTACCAGGAGCTGGTCATGGAAGAATGTGAGGACCAGATTCTGTGGGAGGTGCGAAACCACAGTGTTTGCCACGGAGATGCCAATCACCTTTTCACCGAGGACACGGCTGCTGTTCTGGTCCTGGAATTCATACAAAAGATGGTGACACTGCTGTATGAAAGTGATACCCGTCAAGCATGAACCTGTTAAGGGCCCCCAGATTTCAGATGCAGAAGGCTCCCTTGTCACCTTCCCCAGCAGAAAATCCCACCCCAAAGGCGATCTGCACACACGAGCTGCTCTCGTATGAAGGCTCTGGCTCAGCCAGCCAGGACCCATGCCCATCTCTACCCATGCTGTTCATCACCATCACAGATAATGTGGCAGTAACATAGGAGGTAGACATTGGGACACCAGTTGACCTTTCAGTGATACTGGCAATGGTCAGATTACAATCACCAACAGTTTATCTGCTCTAGTATCTGGGCTCTGATTGGAGTTAGGACTGGATAATTCAGGGAGAGGTGTAACTCCCACCCCCATCTCATCTTACTGTGAAATCCTCTGCCATGGGGCGGGGGAGGCAGGGCAAGAGGAGGACACTGTTTCTCAGATACATCCAGAGATCAGAGATCACTTAGGCAGGCTCAAGCAACAGGCAGGCTCAAGGGGGAGATGAGAATAACAGATTGGAAGTACCTTGAATTTGGTAACACTGATAAATGGTATTTATATACAACAAGGCATGTGGTGACAATATTATTTCAGCAGCAATTCTCAGCAGCTTGTTGGGGGTGGGGGTACAGGTATTAAGCTAGTCTGAATAGTTGGGAAATATAAGGACACACAAGGTAAAATAAGCAGTTTGTTCTCATCCTAGTTAGCCTGTTCTCAAGACACCCAGCATGAATGGGTGCATCTGCTCAGGGCTGGACTAGCTGTGGGTGCTGCAGGTCTGAACTGAGGAGCACTGGTAGAGCCAGTAGGAACCCCAGCTGGAACAGTAGGTCAGGATGCTTGGGTAGAGCTGGATCAGAGACCAGGAGGGGTTAAGCAGGATGGTCTGTAGCAAGTTAGAGTCCTTGCTGATTGGCAGAACAGATGAGCAGGCCAGGAACAGCAGAGGGGAGGATATGGAGATGCTGTGGGCAGGAGGTACCATCAACATTCACAGCTCCATTTTCCCCAGCTTTGTTCCCCTTCCCTTTTACCCATAAGCACCAGATTCATGCACAGCCCTGACTCAAGCTGTCATTACCTGGAAAAGGGACTGGCTGTTGATTTCCACCAGGAGCACTCTGGTCTCAGCAGCCTTTCCTCTGCCCTTGGCTTTTGCAAAGACAACACTGGGCATATTCATTTCAAATCCACGAACCTTTTTACCTGTCTGCAAAAGAAAGCAAAGCAACACCCACTATCAGATGAGAGAGCACATGGACAGACTGGGTAGGCTGGTGGGTTTAATGTTGAGGTTAAAGCAATGATGGCAACTTGTTTTTTTTTTAAATGTATGAAAATAGTTTCCATCTCCTGAGGGTATTTATGAGGGGCTTTAGGGCTAAGACAAGCCTGAGGGCAGCACCACCAAGTAAGCTTGGGATGGCTCCTGTCTCTCTGCATTGCAAATGCATCTGTCTGCCTTTTTGCCCCTTCTAAGATAAGGTCCCCCCCAACTTCTACCCTCCTCCCTGGGATAAAAAGGGGCTCCCAGGCCTACTCCCTCAATTATTACCTCCCCTCATGCAGGAAGTGGAGAGGAGGTTCCCTTGCCTACCCCTTCCCAAAACAGGAGCCTGGGGAGTGAGGAAAGGGACTGCTCTGATTTTTGCCCCCACCTTCTCCACCTCCATGACTAGCTTAGCTCAGGGTTCCTCAGAAAAGAAGTCATGCTTCCTGCTGTCAGTCATGGATGCAGCAGTAGCCTTCCCACTATGCTACTGATGAATCCCTACTTGCAGGGTCCTGGGCATAGCATGCAGGTGGTCTCTGCTGGGAAGTGGGAGTGATGTCACCGTGGGAGCATGAGAGATGGGACTTGCAGCTAAATCTCAGCCAGTCAGTGTGACTGATGTTCCAGAAAGTGCTGTCAAAGGTGCTAGTGGCAGAAAGTGAAAGCCTTTCCTTCCTTTTAGCTTCTTGCAATTGTAGTAGTCTCAGCATAAGAACTTCCCTTTAATTACATCCAGTGACCAGACACAGGATACGGGTCAGCCTGGGATGTGGTCAGAATCCTGTCTCTGCTGCAGATTGTGGCAGCGTTGCAGCCATCTCTATGAACCAGCATTGTGAGACTCCCTGTCTGTTATGTAAATGTATCACTCAGGCTGATGGTAGTGTGTGTAGGGGAAAGGGGGACTCTGTACAGCTTTATAATGCTGCAAGTGGGCAGAGATAATACAAAATCCTTAGTGCTCTAAAACTGTATCAGGAATGCAAACCAGGTTCCAATTGACTTATTAGGTACCTAAGTAGCACTTGGACATCTAAGGATCTAAGCACAATCCTATTCCACATTGAAAAATCTTTTAACACAAGCCGTGGTTGAGTACTCCTCACTGCTTTACTGACCTAGTCCCGTCAAGGATGAAGCCTGGTAAGAAAAGCAGTGGCATTTCAGGGAGTCGAACATAATCATACTTAAACCTTCCAGGTATGTCTACACCATGTTCTCAGCATGTCCTGGTAAGAAGGCTCCTTCTCACCAAAGCCATGTTGGGGACTATTCCTTGGAATACTTGAGAGAAGATCCTAGAAATACCCTGGGAGTGGCTTCACCATAACTTACCAGGTTTGGAACATGAAAGTTGGAGTTGGTGAGCGGGGGGAATGCTTGGCAGTGTCATCCCAGCGCTCACTAAGGATGTGATGTAGACATACCCAGAGCTGTCTTTGTGCCATTTCAGTACTGCCTAGATGGAAAGGGATCTGGCCCTCCATAAGCAATGGAGAGGGAGGAGTACTTGGAAACACATTCCATGTGGGTCTGCAAGCCAAGTAGTTGTCCCAGTCCATAAAATATCTACAAGTAGAGCAGTCTCTGAAATCTGATAGAGAGGATCTCATTGCTGGTTACTGGTGTTAGAAGCTTGTGCCTACAAAAGCCTCTGCTCAGTCTCTGGAGTCTTGTTTGGGTCTCTGAGAGTGAATTCACTCCCTTCTCCTCCCTGGGCCAACCAGCACTCACCTCCCGTTCAGATGTGAAGGAAAGATTCTGAGAAGCCTTGTTGGGTCCTATCTTCCAAACAGTTGCAGATATTGTTGTCTCCTTGAAAGCCTTACTCTCTCCTTCAAACTGTACTTTTTCTAGCTTCCCTTCCAAATGAAGAAGTTTCCTGTTGTGACAGAAGGAACAGGGGGTAAGTCAGAGATGTTAGGATGGAGAAGACCCTGCCTGTGCTCTGAGGGCTACAGTAAACTGAGAGAAGGCAAGGGCTTTGGTCAGTGCTCCCTGCCCCTCAAAAAAGACTATCTTTTGGCATTTGAGGCTCTAGAGAAAATGATGGCATGAGGCCATGAACTGAAAAGAGAGGGCATGGAGACATCTGTGTACTGTACTCACTTATATTGTGATCTGGAGCTGCCAGTTCTTCCACTGGGCATAGTAGGAGTCTTCATGAATTTTGCTAAGTTACTTAATTCATGTTCAATGTCATGTACTTGAACACCTTGGTCTGTATTTTTATGACCTGATGTGAAATCAAAGGAGACAAAAGTAAATGCCATGATCAGCCAGGCCTTTGGAACTTCAACTGGTTGTACTTGGATAGGCCAAAGTTGGCAAGTCAGCGCTCATCAGTTGAGCAATGTTGGCTCATCAGTCAGGGCTGATGAGCTTTGGGGAAGATTTCCCAAGGAATGTAGGTGCCATAGGGCATGTCTACATGTGCACTTATGCCAGCTTAAATTTACTGTACAGTAAGCTGGAATATGCCACCGTCTACATGTGCAGGCATTAAAGTGCATTAGCACTGTGTGTGGACTGACTTGGGACTAAAGTTAGTCTCAAGTCAGTCCACTCATGAGTGTTACTGTGCAGTGAGGCATCTGCAGATGCGTTACTGCACGGTAACTAATTGGGCATACACTTGATACCTGAATGATGCAGGTATCAAATTTACACTCAAGTTGGCATAAGTCACCATATTTACTGCACTGTACAGGCAAGCATGTGTAGACTCATGCCCATACTGTACAGTAATTTCAGTTACTGTGCAGTATATGTGCACATGTAGACACACGTATAGTTACCTAGTGGGATTTTTGAAAAGCACCATTGTCTCAGTGGAAGTTAGGTCCCTCTGCACTTCATAAACTCCCAGTAAGAGTTAGTCTGCCTCTGAAGGCACCTAATGAACTTCAGAGACCTGCTATTTTAGGGCTGAGCCACTGGAGACCCCAAGAAACCCCTGCTTTCTATAGGGAGTGCTCTTCCTCTTCTCCTACTCCACTGCTTAGGGAAAGCTCCTGGGCTGCTCTCCAGAACACGGCAGAATTCTAGAGTGCAGCTCATGGCCACTCTAACACCCTGTGACAACTCCCAGAGCTGGCAGGCTCTTGTGGGGCTGACCTATACTAGAAATTAAAGTATGGTGCACTACTGGTGTACAGAAGCATCCACTGAAAGCCTCATACAGCTATAAACTGAGATTTCCAGGGCTGCTGAAGCCAGCACAACTGGTTGTTAGACATGTAGCCAGGTATACAGGACATTTCAAATAGATGAGGCACTGCTTTATGGCATACAAGGCACTTGCAGCCATCTTTTCTAAAGCAGTCACTTATTGCCGATGCTCAAGCAGAGATGCTTTGGGCTGGCTTTCCAGTGGCACTGAAAGCCCGCTACTAAAATGATCTGAAGTGGAAGGAGATGCCAGACAGCTTAGGAAATCAAGCCTAAAGTGTTGCATGTCACACCCAGAAACAGAGGGACCCCAAATCAATGGCCAATTAAAAAAAAATAACATTCTTGGCTTCTCCACTGGTTAGACCTGGAAACTAATTACCCTTCTCTGTTTCCGACTATAGGCTCAGCTGTATTTCACATCACCTGGGGTTTCCCCATCCATGGATAGACTTAGCTAACCCTGCTTAGCTTACAAGACTGAATACTACAGGAAACTTGAGATAGAGCTGTTGATGTTTTTGCCTATTGAAAATAATGTTGATTAGCTTTACCTTTGAAGGAGAAAGAGTAATTAACTGCACTGCTAAGAGCATTCTTTTGACCCTTTTCATAGGTGTAGGACACATTGAACAGCATGGGAATGCGAGATGAGTTCCTTGGAGGGTCTGCTCTTAGAGAGTGGAGGGAAGAGTTTACATTTCTGCTCAGTGTATAATTGCTTTTTCCATATGTGATGTTGAAAAATCCACTTCTTTGATACACATAGAGGCAGAAATGATAAATTCCCAAATGGTCTGGCAAAGATTCATTGGTGTTGCCTGGTATAAATGGTGCTTTTATCATCAGTTTGTCAGCGCTGTTGTCAATGGTGATGTTCTCTTTGTGAAACTTGCCAACAAGATAACTTCTCTGTGTTTGATTTCTTTCGGCACAGAATTGGAAGTCCTCATCTTCGCTCCTGCTTCTGTTGATCCCTGTGTTACATAAAAGCACAGAAAGTCTACCTCAGCATGAGGAACTCCATGCTCTACATTGCCCCAACATTATATACCTCCTTAGTGCTCCCATGCTATGCTGTTCCATCAGTTATTATTTGTGTTACAGTAGGGCTCAAGACACCCCAGAAAGATTAAGCCCCATCATGCTAGGTACTGCATAAAAGGAGTCAGCCCCATTTGTGAACATCTTAGAACTCCTATACATGTGGAAATCTAGCATGTTGGAGCAGAGCTCCATCACATGTATAGGTACCCTACATGGCTCTCATCACTAAGGTATGCGAGTGCCCCATTATCTTTAACCTACCTCTACAACACCACTCTGAGGCAAGGAAGTAAAATTATCCCCGTGTCTGAGGTGGAGAACGAAGGCAAAGTAAGACCCAGGTGCTTGTCCAGGATCACCAAGAGAAGCTGGGACTAGAGCCTGCTCTCATCAGGCTAAGGCCCTCCTCTATCCCATGGACTACGACCCCAATCCTGTGCAGTTACTAACTGCTGAGGTGATGTGTAGGAACACCCTGACATGTCCTGGAGTGAGGGGGCAATTCAGTCTCTGTCACTTTGGGTCTCAGGGAACTTGAAGTCCCTGTCCCTCTCTTGCATTGTCTTCACAGACAGACACCCCTGAGAGATCTCACTAGTATATTTCCAGATTTGGAAAGTGTGTACTTAGCAAAGGCCTGCCCAGGACAGCCCCACAGAGAATCAGAGAGATGGAAAACCCCCAGAGCATCTTACCTTGCAGCAGGAACACAAGGGCCAGAAGGAGGAAATTCATCCTGGCTAGTTCTCTCTGCTCTTGATTTTCCTCAGTGGGAGAACCTATGCTTTGGTACCTAGAAGGACATAAAAAAAGCAAGTTTCTATGCAGAACACCAGGAGTATATCACTCATCCTCAGTGCAGGTCTAGAACAGACAGCAATGCCTGTACTTCTGTTTCTATAACCTCAGACTTGTGCTTAATTGCGGAATACCACCAGGTGGGGGGAAGTGACAGAGGCAGGAAATATAATCCTTTAATATTCAGGCACAAAACTGAACTGTTATTCAGTGTTTCAAAGCTACCTGAATAGGAATATGGAGATACTTTTGAAAATGTGGAGCTGTAGTTCTGTGAGTAAGACAGCCCGCCACCAGAGGGAGATCTGGGTTCTGAAAACCAGGTAAAATTTAATTGAGGAACAGAAACAGCTTCATACAATGAGTGAAACAAAAGAAAGACTGATCCTTTAAAAGATGAAAGATTATACTTATATGAGCCAAAGAGATCCCTATAGAGGGCTGTATTAGCACTGAGATTCACTGCACCATGATGCCTGCCAGCAAGCCAGACAGAGTGCATGTTTCATTGTAGTTAGTCACTGAACAAAGAAAGCTTTCTCCTCCGGCCTCCTACAGTTCAGCTTAGCATATATTATATGCATCAGCAGCAGTAACAAAAGCAAACCAAAACTGAGAAAGTGTTTGGCCAAATTTAGCGTTTTATTTTCAGGATTTTCATTTTTGTACTTCAGCGGGTTGGAAATGAAGAGCCAGACTGACAGCTAGTGTGGATCAGTGGGGCACTGGTGAAATCAACAGAGCATTGCTGACTACTACCAGCTGAGGACAGTTTTTAGCTACTTTGGGTCTAGTAAAATGGAGTACATCAATGGAGAAAAATGTGAGGGAGTCACACTATCCATAAAGAAAAGAGAACAAGGTACAGACAAAATGAATAGCCTATGGATAGATGGAAGGAATGGCGTGTTCTCCAGAGAATGCATGAATTGTTAATGCTAGTGGACAGCTCTGGACGGCAAGTCCCTGCAGCAGCAGTTCTCTGTTTATCACAGAGCAGCCACATTTACACACACTGTCCTGCCAACATGTTTTCATGCTGAATTAACAGAAACACCCTAGGGGCGAGAAGAGCAGTTTGGTTCCCATTGCCTGGTCCAGCCTTGGCTTCCCTTCTGCCAAGTCTGCCAGTTTCATCTGCAATTTGTGTAGCAGAAACTCTCATCACTGGGAACTTTGCTGTGGCTGCCCGACTTGTCCCATCAGCTAGTAACAGCAACTGGGTCCCCAGGCTGGATTGGGGCACCAGGACTTGATTCTCATTGAAACTAAGGCCATGTGCAGACATTACACTTTTACTGGTAAGTGATCAGAAACTTAGAGGGACCCAGCCAACCTGCCCTTTCCACCTACCAAAGGGTGAATGTGTGTGCCATTTACTGCCGATCTAAACTACGCCATTTACAGAAAACTGTGTACCTTAAATTAATTCTGCCTTGACCTTTTTGAAAGTCTGTACCTAGCCTAAGGCATTTACACTCACCCATCAGGCTGCAAAAGTGACAGAAGGGAACCTTTATAAATGAGAATTGGAATCCTCTATTTCTCATTGCTAATATCCTAAACAGAGATGGGCAAAATACGGCCTGCAGACTGGATCTGGCCTTCCAAGCCTTTCTATCCAGCCTGCAGGGCCTCCCAAAATTTAGAAAATTAATTATTATCTTCCCCTGGCTGCCTGTCAAAGATGACAAGGCACCAGAGGCAGCAAGACCCAGGGGGAGCCAGCAGCAGGACCTAAGGGCAGCAGGACCCAGCAGCAAGGTCCCCCCTGCTCTGCCCCCCCCATTCCCAGCACCCCGCTCCCCGGTCGGGGGCTGGCAGGGGCTCTACGGAGCTGAGCCAGGATGTGTCAGCAGGGAGAGAAGGGAGCCAGCCCAGTTCCATAGAGCACCTGCTAGCCCAGGCCCCCTGCTCCTGCTGCCCCACCCTGGTCCCCCACCGGCCCTGGCCCCGGGGCACCAGCGCAGGCCCTGCGCTCCTGCCTAGCTGTTGCTGTGCTCCTGCTCCCTTGCACCTGCCACCAACACTTCCCCACTTCCCCAAACTGAAAATGCTTCTCCCCCCCCCTGCCCCCCCCCCCCCCCCCCCCCCCCCCTTTAGCCACTCCAGCATCATGTGGTTCCTGGCTGCATCACCACCACAGGATGCAATAGGAGCTGGCCTGGCCCAGCCCCTGTGATTCTCTGCTGGCTCTATGCGGTGCCAGCTGGGCCAGTTCCAGCTGTGTTCTGCAGACCTAGCCATGCAGCTGGGAATTGTGTGGTGCCAGCATGGCTGGCAGGGAGGGGGGAGGGGGGTAGGGAAGCAGTGGGCAGGAATGTAGGGAAGTGGTGGCAGACAGGAGGGGGAAGTGTCAGTGAGTGGGCAGGTGGGTGCATAGGTCCTGTGCTGGTGCCCCAGGGCCAGGACCGCAGAGACCCAGGGCTGGCAAGAGTGCTGGCAGGGGTTCTGTGGTAGCAATGAGGGAGAGGTGTGTGTGTATGTTTGTTGGGCGAGTCCCACACACACGCCCCACCATACACATGTACCCTCCCCTTGCACTGCCATAAACATGCACCCACACCCCCTACACACGCCCCATACCCACTGCCCACATCCCCTCACACACCCCAGCCACCCTCTCCCTTCACAAGAATAAGGCTTCATTTTAAGCTAGTATACAATCACTTCTATGTACACTATGCAAACACATGTAAGTTAGGACAAAAATATTTTTTGAAATCAAATTAATGAATGTTGTAGTAGACATTTGATTTTTAGAATATAATTTGGTATTTCTGGTTCCAAGACGACAAAACCCCTTGCTGAGAAGAGTACTTCTGGGGGCAAGAGGAGGGACTTCTGGTGGCAAAGGTCAGGGGTTGGAGGGCGGGACTTCCAGTCCCAAGTCTGCAATCAGGGGGTGGGCGCCTGCCCAGGAGCGGGGCTACCCATGCAGACCTCAACAGCTTGCCAAAACTTGCCCTCCACCTGAAATGATTGCCCGTCCCTGTCCTAAACCCATGAGTCCCCCTTAGCTATATTAAAGTCACAGAGCCTGATTTACACCAGTGAAAATCAGGTGTAACTCTCCTGGGGTTTGTGTACACAGAGAGGTTAGTGTGCAGTAACCAAGGGTACAGAATTACAATGCAGTAGCTCCTCAGCATGAATTGCCTATGTGGACACTGTTAGGCCAGACTTACCCTGTAGCTTAGTCAGGACTGAGGGCACCTACACACGTGCCTGACACCTGCTCTGACACATACTAATTATCATGTGTCAGAGCAGAGCAGACTCAATTAATTCCCCTTCTGCTAATTAGCTTGCTCCAGCAGCCTCAGTGTTACATGTACCCAGTGCACCCACACTTCAAAATGGAAGCGAGGACGCTTTAACTAAAACTTGTTGAACGAACTTTAAAGTGCCCCCACCGCCATTTTGAAGTGTGGGATACTGAATACATGAGATTCTGCAGGCGCTTTAGTTAGAACGGCTCCCAAGAACTGCTCTAACTAACCGCCCTACCCCCAACCGTGGAGCATGTGTAAAGACACCCTGAGTGTCCACATGGGGAGTTAATGTGGAGTAACTAATCTCATACCTGCCTTGTTGCAAACAAACTTCCCCCTGTGGAGAAACCATTGAGACCTGTGGAGACACTCTGAAAACTGGTAGCTCCATTTGATCCAGTGAAGTTCTTCCTTATCTAAACTGTGTTACTGAGGAGAAAATCCAACCTGTGGAACTTCTCATTCAGACATTAGGAAGAAGTCATATCTGTTGGTATCCCCAACAGATACGGTATCCCCAGTTCAGTAGGAACAGGAAAGTGGTTTTACCTCTGTATATGGCACTGTTGACACTGAAAATGAAAAGGTGTACAGTTCTGCTGCAGATGTACTAAAAGAGATGCTGAAAAAGTGGAGAAGATGTGAAAAAAAGAGCCACAGGAACTATTTGAGGGCTGGAGAAAATGCCTAACAGCGAAAGATTTAAAGAGCTCATTCATAGATTCATAGATGTTAGGGTCGGAAGGGACCTCAATAGATCATCGAGTCCGACCCCCTGCATAGGCAGGGAAGAGTGCTGGGGTCAGATGACCCCAGCCAGATGCCACTCTAACCGATGACCCCAGCCAGATGCCTATCTAACCTGCTCTTGAAGACCCCCAGTGTAGGGGAGAGCACCAACTCCCTTGGGAGCCCATTCCAGACCTTGGCCACTCTAATTGTGAAGAAGTTCTTCCTAATGTCTAGTCTAAATCTGCTTTCTGCTAGCTTATGGTCATTATTTCTTGTAACCCTCAGGGGTGCCTTGGTAAATTTTCTTCACCAATTCCCTTCTGCGCCCCCATGATGAATTTATAGGCAGCCACAAGGTCACCTCTCAACCTTCTCTTGCGGAGGCTGAAGAGGTCCCAGTGCCCTAGTCTCTCCTCATAGGGCTTGGCCTGCAAGCCCTTAACCATACGAGTGGCCCTTCTCTGGACCCTCTCCAGGTTATCCGCATCCCTCTTGAAATGTGGCGCCCAAAACTGCATGCAGTATTCCTTTCTGTTTATCAGAGAAAAGTGACAGATGATTTGATTTGACAGTGCATACGTACTTTCAAGGGTTAAAATGCTGGGAAATCGGGCTTTTGAATGCTAGTGGTAAAAGACATAACAAGAATCAGCAGTTAGAAGTATAGCAGAGAACCTCAAAATTAGATCTAAAATGCAAATTTTGAACACAGGGTGATTAATTACAGGAACAAACTGCAAAGGGATGGAGGGTACAGACAGATGTAACAACTGAACATGGTGTGCACATCAGGGGGATTTTGCTGTATTCTGATAATTCTGCCATATGCCCGTGTTGGCCTTCTATAACATCAAGAATAGAATTTGGCTTATGCCCTATAACCTCAGTCCTAACCCACCAGGGATTTGAAGGATCAATAATAGGAACAAATGATCATTCCATATACACATTATTTCTTGCATACTGCAAGTCTCATCATGCTTCAGTTCAGCCAGTGCTTCTATACCCAACATTTCTGCCACAGCTGTGTTTCTATGACTACTATGCTGTATTACGTCTGATTTCTGGCTGGCTCCTATTTTCCCTTCCTCCTATTTTGATTCGTAGCAACCCTGAAATTATACTGAGGCAAAATCAAGCACAAGAGAGGAACAGAATGTCCTGACAGCTGTGCAGTGGCTTATGCAAACTAAGCTACTGGTTTCAGTCCTGATCCTACAGGACATTTAGCCACAACACAAAACCTGCTGCTGCAACTGGCTATAGTTTCCCACTGGCTAGACTATAGACTATAAACTCTAACTAGACAGGTTAGACTATAATTTTCCTTCATAGGATTTTTCTTCTTCTTTTATGCAGCTGGCTGTTGTCAGAGTTGGGATATGGGACTGGACTGTGCACTGGTCTTTTCTTATGCTCCTTGAAGGATGTTCTCTCTTCCTACAAGCTGTGCAACCTTATTGGTAACTTCAGCCAAGATGCCAAGTGCCAGTGGGCCATAGGGACACTAGCTGGTACGCGCTAGGAAAGCTTGCATTCCTAAGGGCAGTGAGAGATAGGAAGCCCCCTGTCCTCAAACTACCAAATGCCTTTTACAGGAAGACCAACTCATGGATTCTTTGTCAGTTGTGCGTGCCCGTTCATTCTTTGTTTCCTGTCAAAGAACGTGATTTTTTCCTTGAACACTTTTTCCCTTGTTCTATTGCTCTCGTTCTCCAAGGCTGCAAGGTCTCACAACAGGTTCTTTGCATCTTGTAGTGAAGCCTTGCTCTCAGATACTAAAACCAACCATCACAGTCTTGTTTATTGCTTGAAGTGCTGAAACATTTAACATGAATGCAACCTAAAAATGGAAGAGTGAAAGAAAGGAAAAGGGAGAGAAAGAGGTAAGCTACAGGCAGAAACTTTATACAGCCTGCTAGCTCAGTTGATGGTGGGGGTTTAGGATTGTGACACCCCCAGAGAATGTTACAGCTGTTGTTATTTTATTTAAGCAGTGGCCCAAAGCCCCAGCTGGGAATCATGACCCCAGATCCTCAAATTCCTAGATCCTCAAGGACAGAGCCCTGTCAGTTTGTTCTTTCCCTCACCTCCCACTCCTGCCTGCACAACATAGCTCAGTCAGTGTGTTACCTACTCCTTTCTCAGGATCTCACATCAGACTTTGCAGCCACACCTTCATACCACATAACTAATATAACATTTTGTTGTGAGGCTGTATTCATATTTTCTTGACTGATGTTTTGGGTGTGATTGGAATCCTGCTCACACTGGCGCAAATCAGGAATAACTCTCCAGTTTGTGGATTATGTAATACATCATTACATAAAAATAAGAACTATATGTATGTTGTTGCTGTAACCTTGTATAAAGACAGACTTGCAAGGCCAAACTCCATGTTTTGGCTGATTTAAGCAGGAAAGTACTAAGTACATAAAATAGCTGAAATCCATAACCATAAAGAATGGCATTCAATGTCAAGAGTGAAAACTTGATAATTTATGAAAAGCCAATCCTAGTTAAATAGTGAATGTGGTATTATCTTCTTATAAAGTCTTCACTAGTGGGGGTAGGGGGGAGGAGTGGAACTGTGGGTATCTTCATGATCCACCCCTTTCATTAACATATACTTAATGAAACTGTAGAAAGTTGCATTCCATTAATTATTCTATATCTGTGATTGGAAACCTGGAGAAGATTGGAGGGGAATATTGTTGCAGAAACTGAACAACTAACAAGAACTCATGGGCTCCTGCAGTACTGTCTTCACCCATCCTCTCAGGCAAGAGTATGTTTTTGCATTTCCATTGCCTGATCTGAATGCCAGTTAAATGTTTGTTTAGCTTTCCAATAAAACAGTCTCTTGAGAACAGACAGGAGTGCTCAATCTCTATTTCAGGGCCCTGCCCAAAAAATAAGTTCCCTTTGTCTCAGTTTGGGGACAAAGGGCTTCCCTGCAAACTCCACTGGGATCAGCTGAATTTTACTGGTATAAATCCAGTTAAATGGAAATTAGACCCATGCCCTCTGGACTCCAGTGAAATCAATGGTAAAGCCTTTTGCACGCTTCAGAAAAGCCAGGATTTCCTCCCTGTCTTGCATGAGGGGCCATCTGCCCTGTGGTTCACATGAGGATTCCCTGCTGTTTGGATGCCACCACCACCTTTTCGAAGCAGAATCACTAGCCCCTAGCTGAACCACGCTGCTTATAGCACCAAAAGCATCTGAGCCCTTGGCCCCTTGGATGTGCCTATGTCTCCCTTCATCTGCACTGCTGCTGGCAGGCTGGCTGTACCCAGAAGAACCAAGGCTTTATTACTGGTTTTGGAGTGAATGACTTGTACCCCCTGTCTATAGCATGATGGCATGGATCCAGCACGCACATGAGGGATAAAGGGAAGAGGAATAGACAATAATTAGGTAAGAGAGAAAATTTAAAACAAGCAAACCATGCCTTCAGCCACTGCTAAACAGTGGTCTTTCTGACACTGCTAGTCTCCACCAGCACAGCAAAACCCCCCAGATTGCAAAATGTTCTCTTCAAAGAGCTAGCATTCCTGGACTGAAAGCCAGCAAAGTCTCCTTACTAACATGCAACTTACACATGAACCAGATGCTGCTTAACCCCTGGGGTGCATTACCCTCTAGTTTATTTTTAAAGGTGTTTAATTTAGCTAACCACAAAGAAAAACAGTACTGATCAGCAGTGCAAACAGAAGCCATTAACCACCCTACACCCTACAGCAAGGCCAAAGCTTGGAAACTCTGGCTTATTACAAGTGTCACTTTGCTTAATGCTGTCTCACACCATTTTACTTTTCATTCCATCCAGGAAGAGCACACATCAACTGCTGAAACTTCCTTAGCCTGACAGAGTTTTTGAACCCGAAAGCTTAATTAAAAATTGTTCTCCAACTATTTAAGTTGGTCTAATAAAAGATATCAGATTCGCCCAAAGAACCTTGTCTGCCTATGTCCTTAGACCACCACAGCTACAACCTGGACCCCTGTCTCACTATTTACACTATTAGCTATGCCAGGATGGGAGGCACAGGGCAGGCAGGCAGCTGTTTTGAAACAGTTTCGGATAGGGAATGCTGGCTGTAAGGCTTTCCCAGGGAGAGTGCTGAGGGCAGGGGAGAGGAGGGAAGAAGCCTCCAGTTGAAAGCAATAGTTGATCTGTCCGCTGAGTTCACATAATCTCTCTGGGCACTTGCCCATGTTACACCTCTCCTGTTACCACGTTACACTTTTCCTGTGTCCACATGACAAAAATCACCATTAAGCTAGCTAAATAGCGTCTGTGTATCCAGGGAACTTCTGGAGGGACTAGATGTATTTAAATCCGCAGGTCCTGATGATCTCCACCCCAGAGTGCTGAAGGAACTAGCAGGGGTCATTGCGGGACCTCTGGCACAGCTCTACAAGCACTCATGGCGCTTGGGCAATGTGCCGGAGGACTGGAAAAGGGCCATTGTGGTCCCCATCTTCAAAAAAGGGAGGAAGGAAGACCCAGGAAACTATAGGCCTGTGAGTCTTACCTCGGTCCTGGGGAAGCTTTTCAAAAGAATTATCCTGGCACATGTCCAGGAAGGGCCAGCAGGAGAGGTTATGCTCAGGGGCAACCAGCATGGGTTCATTAGGGGCAGGTCTTGTCAAACCAACCTGGTGGCCTTCTATGACCAGGTCACCGAGTCCTTGGATGCAGGTGTCACAGTGGATATAGTCTTTCTGGACTTCAGGAAGGCCTTCGACACGGTCTCTCACCCCATTCTCAGTAAGAAACTAGGAGGCAGTGGTGTTGATGCCTACACGGTCAGATGGGTCACTAACTGGCTGGTGGGCTGCACCCAGAGGGCGGTGGTGGACGGATCTTATTCGACCTGGAGGAATGTGGGCAGTGGGGTTTCCCAGGGCTTGGTCCTCGAGCCCGCACTATTCAACATCTTCATCAGTGACTTGGACGAGGGGGTAGAAAGCGCCCTGTTCAAATTCGCACATGACATCAAGATGTGGGGTGAAGTGGGTATACTAGTAGGAAGGAACAGGCTGCAAGCAGATCTAGAC